TAATTCATACTCTGCAAGTCAGTTTTCATTCTTCCAGTGGAATGGCCAATATGGCTTGTCCAGGCTTCCATTCCTTGCTCATATAACTGAATAATAACTTGTTTTGTGCCGTCCGTGTAGAATAGAATGGTGAGATACTAAGAAATATCAAGGGTTAATAGGCTGCTGTTGACATTAGTGTGTTTGTCAGGTTTTTTTTGGCCACATCCAGAGTCCCTGTAATGGGCTAAATGTGCTTTAAACCATATAAGATCAAGGAACTAACTCGCCTCTCCTCAACTTTTCAATCTGTGGTCTTATCTTGTCAGCGAATGCTGCTGAGATATGGGTTATGCAAGAGTTCAAGAAGTGAAGGGCTTTTATTACTGTGCGCAAGACTTTGAACTCTAAGTGAACCAAGATGATGAGGGAGAAAAAATCCCCCTAGAGTGCAGAAGCAATAAGAACGATGATTTTCTTTGAAAAGCTCCTTCTCCTTTGAATGCACCAGTGTGATAACATCAGTATTAAAAGGGCGGCTATTTGATAGCATTCATTTCAGTGTTCACTTGATTGCCAGATTCGGCTCAGTGATTTGGAGAATCTTGATAATGGAGCATTCAGGGCATTGTTTCCCTCACAGTCCAGTAGAGACATGCTGATTTGAAAAGTGCCACACACACCCAAAATGTGCAGAACAAGAACTCCACATAATTTAAGATGCTTGTACTATAATGAAATATTCAGGTGAAATGATAGAAAGCTTAAACTTTGACATTTTGTTAGAGTGTAAAACAAAGAATGTCCACCTTCATTGAGGAAATTGAGTAATCAGGTTTCTTACATCAAGGCAAGGCCAAGAAGTGTTAACTTTGTCGTTAGCCTATTTGGTGCCTATTTCGCTGCTGCTTTGTTTCGCATGTTGACTGCTGATATGTAATAACAGCTCCTGCATCAACTGATTAAAAGCTTCTCCAGGGGAATTCCACCAGTTTTGCCAAATGTCTGCATAGTTTAATGGTTGAGATGTACACAAAGCCATTCAGAGGTTTGATGTGAAATGGTAAATTGTAACAAAACTTACTGACTCTGCTTTCTTTACAGTGGGTATGAACCAGGGATCATGATGTCTACAATGCAAATAGAGCCATTTTATTTACTTCCAAAATGACCTGCAAACCTACACGTGTCTTCTGAGTTTTTCATATGTAACGTTGATGGTGGTAAAATAGTTGTAGATTTTGTCTTATAACAGCCTGCATGTACCTGTCTGTTATAAAGACTTTAATAAAATATGTTTTAGTTCAAAATCTTGTCTCAGAACTATTGTAAAACAATGTTTGAGGCTTTAGGCAGTGGATTTGTAAGGTTTTTGTGTAGCAGCTTTCTGTGATGTAGCTTTTAGAGGCATTAAACCTCTCAGACTCCTGGTTCCTATCACTACCACTGTGAAAGATTCTGATTAAGTTTCTCTAGCATGGAGCTTTTCACATCAAACTTCTCTGAATGACTTTGTTAACATCTTAACCATCATTTAAGCCAAAATTATTTAAGCCAAATTAAGCTTCTTCTCTGGCAGTGGTCACTAACCCTGAAACCTGCAGAAAGGCAGATGTCCAGGAGCAGGGCTGGTGACCACTGTTTGGTTCTTTTTGTGTTTACCATAAACCGTAGACCTCTTTTTACTGGCACCGAAAAAGTGATACATTATGCTTTCATGATTCAAATATGTGCATAATTTCCACATGAACATAGAATATTACATCAACACAAATACTGCCAAAAGACAATAAACAAAATTGTTTTGATGTGTAGATTTTCAGATTAAGCACAGTCACTCATAAACAGATGAGCGACACACTGGGCTGAATGGAGATCTGTCTAATTGGGCATTAACCTAGATAGATTATAAATAGATCTCATGTAAGCCTTTGATATGAGTTATGTAATTTCACTCATGTTTACTTGGTGGGTTTAAATGAAAGCTGTCTGCGCTTCTTATGTTGTCCACCTGTATCAGCTTTATTCCCATTGATTCCCAACCTGAGTGTCACCAGCGTTAGTCCTACACAATGCTCCTGCAGCCTTGGCAAACATAGTAGAAGATTATTGCAGGCCAGCTTCTACAGTCAGCATGTTGTTGTTGTCATATGAAGGCTCAATTTTGTGATTTGGCTTATTTACACCTTTTCAAAATGCGGGCTGACTTGTACATTGTGTGAACAATTCTTCATAAAAAGAAGAATATGTAAATATCTTCAAATAGAATGTTGTGTACATTAATGTATATTAAAGTTAAAAACATTCTTTTTTCCTATTTGGGTAAATAATGAGTAGATGTGTAAACTTCTGACCTCATAATAATTCAGTTCGGTTCTGACTCTTTAGATGCATCATGAAATCTCAAATGTCTTAAATGATTTTTTTATTACAGTTTTCTTTTAAAAATGTGCTCAATACACAATAAAATAAAACACTAAAAACAATACACCAAGCTTTTTGGATTTTTTCATTTGAAAATCACCTGAGAAATTTATTTTGGCCAAAAGAAATTAAGGACATACATAACTGAATGTCATTATAATCAATTCTGTCAGAATCTCTATCTTCAGATTGATGCATCCCCATGGGTTTTACTAGGGATGCACCACTATAGGAATTGTGAGCCGATACCGAGAATTTCCATGTACATATCTGCCGAAGTCAATACTTAAACATGTAGAAATTGGGATTAAATCCTTCTGGATCCATCCCTAATTTTTACACTACTCATACTGCGAGGTACAATTGTCCTGAAACTGAATTCCACTTTCTTAGATATTAATATGCAAAAGTATGTTTAGTTGACTTTGCATTTACACATACATTACACATTGATGTTGTCAGTTTTTCAAATCTGAAATGTGTTTTACCTCTAAAGTTTCTAAGTTCAGTCTCAGAAATTGGTTGCATTTTCTGTTTCTCCCAAATCCCAGACACATTAAAAGTTGTTGAGCTCTGAACTCTGGGGTGGTCAGTCCATTGTTCTAAGAACACCATCAGTTTCTTTGATTGGCAGATTTTCTTCTTTTTTGTCTGTTTCCTTTTCTCAGTAACAGCTTCTTGACAGCTACACATCCTTTCAGACTCATAGTGTTGAGTTGTCTTCTCACAGTGGAAGGATGAACAGAAACACCTGTGGATTTTTACAGATCTGAAGCAAGAGTGGAGCTTGATTTTCTGCTACCTCTCAAGCTTAAAGCACTGTTTATCTGATGTTGACAGGTTTGGTAGTCCACCAGGTCTGGCATGGTTGTTGAGAGTCTGAATTCTTCCATATCTTTTAATAATATTTTGAGCTCCTGTTTTTCACATAATTTTCCTGGACCTTCCCCTTCCTTAAAGCTGCACTTTATTTAAAATATCCCAGAGTCACTAAAATGCAAATGAAGCTTAGATTAGTTTTTTTGTTGTTGTTGTTGTTGTTGTAAAAGGTTGTACAAAACAAAATAAATAAATAAAAAATAAATAAATAGCTGATAATCCAAAAAAGTGTGGAATGGTTAGGATGTGGATTTTTTGTTGCAAGGGGGTGTCTGGGGAATATTTTGTATATTTTAAAGGTAAATGCATCAGTTTGAGAGCAAAATTAAGATGTTACGTCTATGAAGAAAGAGCTTGATCATAAACACCCTGCTGAAGATGCTGAAAATAGCTATAGGTTGTCAGAGCATGTGCATGACAATCTTGCACTGGCTGCGGCAAAAACTTTAACAAAGAATCACATCTCAGAACTCACAGAAATATCACAGTAGCTCTGGTTAGACCAGGCATTGGTATGTTGAAGGATGAAAATACATTACCAGATGTGTTAGCAGCATTGATGTTAACATTTTCGACATGCTAAAGCTCTGCAAATTCAATAGCACACTGTTTTAAAGCGAGGAGACAAGAGTCGGACACACTGACGTTAATTTTCCTTAACTAAGCTAAAGTTAGATTAAAATTAATTATCAATAGTAACTTCTGTGTTGACATTATCTGTTTGCTGTCTCAGATTGACAATGATAAGTATTTGGACGAGTGGATAACTCGTCCAAAACTGTAAAGTTAACGTTACTTATCTCAAATTGTACGATATTGTGTCCCCAGAATGCATTGTGTCTCGGATGCAGGCAGGTAATGAGACAGTCTAGTGTGTGTGAGCATACACGTGTAAAACAAGGGAGGGGAGGGGGGCTGACTGGTAGTGAGAGCTGCTTTGCCGAAGCAACGGGGCAAAACACAACATTGTTTGTTATTATGAGACGTGTAAAGATATTTTTGGTTGATTATGAATCTGGCGGGACTAATTAGACTATGAATAGACTATTTAATTTGATATGTCAGTTTCTTATACATTTCTAAATGATTACTTATGATTTCTTGTATTACTGTTCAACTTTGTCACCTGTCTGTAAAGCATGTTGAGCTGCTCACATGAAAAGTGCTATATAAATGAAAAATATTATTATTATTATTATTATTAAAGGTCATGCAGTGACTGTGACCTATGCCCTCTTTCTTGTTTAAAATGGTCAGCACATGGCTATCAGCAAATGCCATGCTCTTTTCACGCTTCTCTTACTGTACATGCCCACGTGTTCTCTGTTTAATATTAGGGTCAATATGCAATAATAAGATGATTAATTTTCACTTTCTACTACGATCAAAGTATCAAACCTTTATTTGTCAGGCAGTGACCCAATTTTCCACCCCACCCCCCTCAAGTTGGCACCTATGCCCATAACCAATTAGCTATTCTGCCCATAACCATCCAGATTAGTTTGATTAAGGTCCACAGTAAAGCCATACTGTGTCCAGAAGCCATTGTTCTTGTGGAACTGAGTGCTGAGGAGATTCCATATTTCATGTTGCATAATCGCATGGAATAGTCAAGAGGTGCTTATCATTCATTATTTAATTAGTGATTTTCCTGTTAGCCTTGAGAGTGCAGTCTGCATGAATAGAACATCAGTGCTTCCTGTCTCTTTGTGCTTCAGCTCTTCAGATCCAGACACAATGACCAGCTCTCAATGCACTCAGAGCCCAGACAGTGACCTGGCACCTCTGCAACATTGCAAGCTCTGCCTTGGAGAGTTCCCCCTGGACAAAATGGCCATCATCTCCCAGTGCCAGTGCATCTTCTGCAGCCTGGTGAGGAGCTGTGCTAAAGCACTACTGTTTTCAGCGTTGTGTGTGTAGCTTGTAGCATGATAGTCTTAACAGAAGCCTTGGCTTAAGCACAAAAATATACTGTCACTTTCATAACGAAACCTTGTTTCTCCAAGATAGTAAGTCTGAAAAAACAAGGGAAATTGATATTTTCAAATGTAGCAAAAGAAACAACAACAAAATTACATAGGGTACATTTTATTGCAGGGATTTGAACTGACAACTTTTCAAATTCTGACCCTGAGTCCTGTCTTGCACCCTAATCCAACTGAAATGATGAACTTCAGTTGATAAAAAATCCACTGTTACCAGGTGTCTCAACATCATTCACTTATGGAAATAATAATCTCTTCCAGTGTCTAAAGCAGTACGTAGAGCTGCTGATCAAAGAGGGTCTGGAAACAGGAATCAGCTGTCCAGACTCTGCCTGCCCAAAACAGGGCCAGTTACAGGAGAGTGAGGTACAGTAAACCTAAACCTATGCCTTCATACTTTTATATAGGATGGAGTCTGATTAACATCAGAGGTTTATGGAAAAAATATTATAATTGAATACACATTGCTAATCAATCCTTGCTATTTAGAAATGTATAAATCAACAATAAGGCACGTTATTACCAAGGTTTCTCTGAAGGTTTCTTGTCTCTCTCTCTCTGTTGCAGATTGAGTCTATGGTGGCAGAAGATGTCATGCAGAGGTACAAGAGGCTGCAGTTTGAGAGAGGTGATTTCTCCCGTCAGTCTCTACAGTTACTTACAGTAGAACCACACAGTGTAGCATTTATTCAGAGGTGTGTAGTAGCTGATTCTGTTTACTCCGTTGCATCTGCTTCAGTAAACTTTAATGGATTTGTACTTTCCAAATTTATTTATTTGAACACACTTGTACTCAGGAAGAGCTTGTTAATGTGCTGGTTATATGTATTAGATATGTTGCACCATCGTAGTGTCTATCCAATGCATCATACCCAACTACACCAATAATAGTCTTTGGGCAAGACTCCTAACGTTACACTTGCCTACCTCATGTAACGTGATTAATTTGTGAGTTGCTCTGGGTAAGAGCACCTGCCGAATGGTAAGTGTAAAAGTGGTATGGTAGCAGATAAATGTATAAAATGATTTGAATGTGATGGTCCTCTGCATGTTTATATAATTACAAATAATTAATAGGGAGCTGTAAAATTACAAATAAATTATAAAAGAAAACCTGAGAATTTTATATGCATCCATAGTGATGAAGAGCTGTAGATGATTCTAAAATGAATGAATGAATAAGAAGTTAAAATAAAATTAATATTAATAATGCGTTGTATTTCCAGTGTGACAAGTCAGATGATACATAATCCTATAAATAGATAATTATAGTATATTATTTATCTCTGAATACCTTGTTATTGTTGCCCAAATATGTGATATATTGAATACAGGTACATCTAAATGTACCTTTTGCTGTCTAGTTTGGAACATTCAAATCCACATTGTTATGTAAGTGATTATTATATATAAAATAGCAAAAATTATCAACATTAAAAGTGGAAAAAAAAAATCTATCCATATAATCGAAAAAAATATCTATCCATATAATCGCAATATAAAATTCTACAGTAATACAGGTCACTGTTGACTTTGTTGAGAGAGAGATGTTTCTTTGTTTGAAAGAATGCTTCCCAGTGTGCATCAGAGCTTCTGCAGTTCCCCAGAGTGCAGTAGAGAACAAGAGCCCTCTTCAACAATTTGAAACACGCCACATGTAATTCACTCTGTCTTAGTGTTCTCTTTTGCTAGATTTTTCCTGGAGGGTAATGAATACCAAAGCCATAGATCTTCCACTGTGCATAACACTGCTTGAAATCTTGATTATTTTAGCACTGTTGTTTAGTCTGAACTCTGGCTGAATCTTTATTTGATACCTCGAAAAAAGCATAAATAAGAGTAATAGGATACAGTTCTGGGCCCTACTGAAAACTCTTGACTGTAGACATGAGCAGTATGCCAGAGCAGGGATGTATATAGAGAGGATATAAGCCTCATTGGATTATAATGAGTTGTTAGCGTTTGCTGGTTAAACACACACAAAATGGTGCTCAACCTCCAAAAAAAAGAGAAGTCTTTGAACAAAATGCAGCCACTGTATTTGTCATTCAGTGCAGTTGGATCCATTACATCATGAAAGTTGCCAACATTTCCTCTCTTCCTGCCCTGCAGAGGTGTTGCTGGACCCATGCCGGACCTGGTGCCCATCATCTTCATGCCAGGCTGTGTGTCAGCTGAAGGAAGCAGAGGTGTCTGTGCCGCAGCTGGTACAGTGCCCTCTGTGCAGCCTGCGCTTCTGCTCAGCCTGCCGGGGAGACTGGCACACAGGACGGGCCTGCCGTGACAGTCTGCCCATCATCACCTTCTTACCTGGAGAGAACAGGTAAATACTCCCGAGTATACTCATCAAAATACCTTGATAACAATTAACATGATAATTAAGAAAAAAGGAAACACTATAATTATTGTTGTCGCATTCATACAGTAAAATGCTGAATAAGTGAAATAGTAAATAAGTGGCATGAGTTGGCTTCATATTTGTAAATGCCCCAGTAATAGATGATTGTCTTATAGCACAAATAGTACTTGTGGCATGAATGTGTTTGCTTGGACTTTCCTGGACTCCTAGTGCCTTTTGCCTTTTAATGGCTTTTGTAAGTGACTTCTTTACATGTTATTCAGGGGCCACTGTAGGGTGGGGAATGCCCTGAATGAGTCACAAGGTGCAGAGCTACACAGCAGCCTTGGAACATAACAGAAATTATAGATCATATTATGGATTACAGATGATAGATTTAAGTGTATATCAGCAGGCCCAGGATTTCTAGCCTTGTTCATGATGCTAATGCCAAGCAATGTTTGGCAGTGTGCAGGGCTCTGGCTGTTCTTTAATGGCTTTAGAACCAAAGTAGCTTCAAATTACAGGCCCACCACCCTTCTTAGGTGTTAAATTTTCCTGACATTTTGCTTTTGTTCTACTTACATTACTGTTGATGTTGAAGACAGTATATACTCTGAAAAAAGCTTAATGGACTGATAGCTTATAGCTGATAGCTTAGAGGTTGTAGCTTATTTGAGTTAAATTATTTCAATCAACCTTGCAATGTTTTCAAAATTGACAATGTTGAATAATCAAGGTGAAAATAAAATGAATTTGATTACTGACAAGCTCTACTCCAGAGTCGTGCAGACGTGGCCACATAAGGACAGGAGACCTTATGAGGAGATGACCTTTTGTACTTTTGTCCATGGCATGTGGTTATGAACTAAGAAATGTGCAATGCTGTGCCTATTAGCTATGACATAGAGAAGCAACTGATCAACAGGCTGTGGACCAATTATATGACAGCTTATCACGTAAGTTCACAGTGTTTGGTTCCTGCCTTTGGTTCCGCTTTTCATCTCTTTGCTTTGGGCGTTATATGGAGCAATTTTCTGTATTACGTTCTTGTATATCATATGATGCACTTGGCTAATATACTGACAAGAAACAAACAGATGGAGACAATAGTAACATATCATCTAATACACGGGGTCAGTTTGGGTTTCGGCTTTGGCTGGTATCGCATATCTAGAAGTGTTGTGTGAGACGTGACAACTGTGTCTTATTCGAGATGATGACTTGCTTTGTTCTTAGGCAATAAAGCGGCCTCATTTTCAAAAAGTGGCCTTTCTGTCTCAGTATTACAGTGTAATTCTCTCTCTCTTTCTCTCTCTAGTTCTGTCTGTAAGAGTGAAGAGGACGAGCCTCCTATAAAGCGTTGTCCAAAGTGTAAAGTGTACATTGAGAGAGATGAGGGCTGTGCCCAGATGATGTGTAAAAACTGTAAACATGCCTTCTGCTGGTACTGCCTGGAGTCACTGGATGTGAGTCATACTGAACAATAAACTTTGTGTTATCACTTAATGAAAATATGCACATTGGACACTTATTAGATACTCCTGCTTTGTATCTGCACTCCACTTACCATATAGGTGAACTTTGCAGTTCTACCTTATAGCTGTAGTTCTATAACAGATTGTAGTCCATCTATGTCTATGCATTATTTGTTACACCCCCTTTACCCTGTTCATTAATGGTCCCACAGGACCACCACAGAGCAGGCATTATTTGGTTGTGTATCATTCTCAACACTGCACTGACACTGACATGGTGTTGACATGTTGGTGTGTGTTGGGCTGATACAAGTAGATCAGTGCTGCTGTAGTTTTTAAACACTGTGTCCAGAGACAGTAGCTCATCTGTTGCTGCACGTTTGTGTTGGTCATCCTCTAGTCCTTCATCAGCGGTTGCAGGACACTGCCCACAGGATGCTGTTTGCTGAATATTTGGTTGGTGGACTATTCTCAGTCTAGCAGTGACAATGAGGTGTTTTAAAAACGCCAGCAGCGCTACACACACTAATACACCACCACCACGTCAATGTAACCATAGTTCTGAGAATGATCCACCACGCTCAAAATTATGCAAAGAAACAGCTGGCCCACAATCTGTAATTATAGAACTACAAAGTGAAGTGTACACCTGTATGTAGAGATTTTTTACATTTCAGGCAATCTGGATGTCAGTTTTATTAGAACTTTATTCTCATGTCATGTAGTCTCAGACATTTTAAAATGATCTCCAGCTCCATTTATCATTGTTGATGCATCTAAAATGATTTATTTTTTACAGCTTCCTAAAAATAATTAAAATCATATTATGATCATTGTATACATTTATTTTCAACCAGATTAATTTCATGTTATTAAAAATACTGATTCCAGGCTTTTAAACAATAGTGTATCTGCAGTCAGTAGGGGATGATTTTTACTGAAATAATAGTCTTCATTCGTTTTTCCAGGATGACTTTTTATTGATCCACTATGACAAAGGACCATGTCGGAATAAACTGGGTCATTCCAGAGCCTCTGTCATTTGGCATCGGACACAGGTATGTAGTCTGTGTACTACATATGAGCACACTCACATGTAGTACACAGACATGTCTAGTACACAGATATGTACACAAGAATGTACAGCACACAGGTATGTACAGTGTACACAGTATAAAAGAATGTGTAGGTCACAGGTATGTACAGCAACAAGTTATTCATTTTTAGATATTTTGTGAAGATCAGATATTGGATCAAATAGAATACAACAAAGAAAAACGTTACAGATCAAACAAAGAAGCTGCTGGTTGTTCACAGATGTGTATAGTACACAGCTATATATAGTTCACATATATGTAAAATAGACAGGTATGTAGAGACAGGTATGTAGAGACAGGTATGTAGAGGACAATGCATTATTTTCCTTTCCTGGCCAGTGCTTTGGTTGTAGAAACTTCAGAATAATATTATTCAATAGTAGAACTGTTGTTCGTTTGGTGTTAGAGGCTCAGCTCCAGGGATCAGTAGCACAGAGGAAGACAGGACAATTTTCACACAGAGGATTTAGCCCTTTAATCCTCCTCTCATCGCCTAACCGTCTAAAATAAGCATTCCGGTGAGTGTGTGTGTGTGTGTGTGTGTATGTACGTGCATACGTGCATGCAGGCGTGTGTGTGCTGGTTTCTCCTGCAGGGCTGTTTGTAAATAGTAAGCTTTTACTAGTATATGGTCTGTACTGCGAAAGTGTGCTGTAAAAATAACACTGTCAGGCTGACCTATAGACTGAACCTCATACTATTCAGTTCAACTTATACATTTTAATTATATCAGATTCATTACATTTGATCCAGTCCTGCTTTTGCACATGTTGAGAGTCAAACCCAAAATTAGTGACACACCTTATGAACTAACTGCCAAGACAAATCAAGCCAGAGGTTGGAGTGAAGCGAAGGAGTGTGTGATTATCTCTGATTATCAAGCATTTACTGCCCCCTTGTGGTGCTTGATGTTCTGGTACATCAGTTAAATTGGGTGCTTCTTATGTCCTAAATTGTGCATTTGCATTTCCTTTCCTTGCATCCTTTCCCTTGTGTCTTAACTCCTTACTTTGAAGACACAGGGAAGAGATGCCAGGATGAGATGAATCAGTGGCCAACGTGATGGCAAAACAGTCATCACTTGTCATGGGCTTGAAGAATCTGCTAATATTAATAAACGTTTATACCCTGTTATCAACTGACTTTTCACATGAGCACGAAAACAATCCGCATGAATAATGTAATTAACTCTCATCATCCTTTCACAGTATGTGCTGTGATTAAGAAGACCTTTGTGTGGTTGAGTTCTTGTTCCTGTGTTAGTTCAGTTGTGGATAAACGCAAGCGTTACTATTTCAGTGAATCTGAACACAGTGTGTGACTTTTTTTTCTGCCATCACAGTTCTGTCATTAGTGCAAGGTCATCTGTAAAGCTGCTTTGTGACAGCACCCATTTGTAAAAGCACAATAAAAATAAATGTTGAATTGAATTGATTAGAATTTAATTGAATTAACTCACTTGTTCTCATGACCTATTCAGTTTTTATTAAAAGGGGATGTCACCGGTGGTGCTCCATACTTGCTGCTCTTTACACTGTAGGAACATTTTATAATGGTGTAACCAATAGAAATGGAAACATTTTATTACATTAACATACATCAAATATTAAGAACATTGGTCCTCGTTCATCAATCATTCTTAAAAAGAAACTTCTTCTTAAATCCATCTTACACCATTTCCTGGCATTCACCTATGTTTTCTAATTTGGAATTTGTTCTTGGGTAAGAACAGAATCTACACACACTCAAGAGCACAAAGGTGTGACCAGTTCTGCGATATAAGAACACGTAATGAATCTGATGTAGATATTTTTCTTAGGACTTTTCTCAAGAACAAATTTAAGAAAAAACTTAGGAAGATATTGGTGAATGAGGCCCATTCTTTCCTCCTCCAGTAAAATTTTTATTATGTCAATCACAATATATTACTCTCCTCTGTGTGTGTTGGCAGGTAGTGGGGATTTTCGCTGGCTTTGGTCTGCTCCTGCTGGTGGCTTCCCCGTTCCTGCTCCTGGCCACACCGTTCATCCTGTGCTGCAAGTGCAAGTGTGGCCGTGGAGATGATGACCCTTTGCCCACTTAGAGTTCTACCTTCAGCTGTGAAATTCCAGTTGAGATTTAACCTGTGCTCTGAAGGAATCTTCTGGCAGAACACTTTTACACTCCTGCTTTCAAGACAGCACAGCTGATTTGGCTACTATGGGTTGACACTGTCAGCCACTGCAGTTGCTAAGAACATTAGAACAGGCTCTAAAAATGACATCAGGAGGCTGGGATTTGCGCCATTCAGGGTCCGAATGGGAGTAAGAAGAAGAGTCACTTGTGGAACACTAGCACAGTTTGTTCTAGGAGGCCAACCAATGGTGTCTGGAGACGTGTATTTTTCTTCCATTGTTTCTCAAGTTCATATTTACTTGGGTACAGCTATGAAAGCTGATTAATAACTTGCTGTCTCTGTTTATTTGTTGCATAAATTTCATCAAAAGCTGTAGAAAAACAAGCCACAAACTGAGCTTTTGTATTTTCCGCTTAGCAAACCAAGTGACCTGAATATTCCTTTTGATTTTTACAAGTCCAACCTCACTGCAAAATAATTTCTGGTCTTATTTATGTTCTTTGACTTTGAGAAGCTATGGAAACACCTGTGTTCATGACTTAAGTAGCATCCACTTCATTTTCCAGTACTTGTTTCACTTTCGTTCCATGTCTTGGTGCTTTTCAAAATCTGTCTTCCATTTGATGGTAGCTAGTCAGACATAATCTTCAGAGGTAGCAAAGTTGTTATTTGATGACTTGCTAAAGTCAACCTGGAATCAAAATGTCCTGTTTTACCTTGTTTATTCAGGTCCCTGTCGTGATTTATTACACATTATTCAGAAGACAAACATCTTTTTTTTTCATAATTCTCTGAGTTTTGATTACATCACCGTGCATCAGCGTGTCACCACCCTCATCTATCATCGAGCCAAAACAAGACCTTCCCTGACCATGGGTCCTTCAGAAATACATCAGGGTACAGAAGGAAAATATGCTGAAGACCAATTCATGTTGACTTTAAATCTGGGGGGGGTATTTCTGCAATCTTTTATTATACAGGTGCCAAAGGCCTTTGCCATCATTGTATTACTGTTCATCACAAGGCAGTTACAAACACATTAAAGGAGAATTCCAGCAATTTCTCAAATTTATGCATAATTTAAAGGGTGAGATAACCATCATTCAGAGATGTATGTCAGAGTAGATGTATGTCAAAGTCAGAGCAGTTTGAAAAGAAACGCTACATTTCTAGAGAAATTTACAAACTCTGATTTCTCAGTGATGGTGACAGGAACTGGGTATTACATTGTCTACTTCTCAGATAAAGCTATTTTATCTACTATCCAAAACCACCTGTGAACCAACACGTGTCTTCTGGCTTTTTAATGTCTCAGGCATTAGACAGTATATTCATAACCATGTCATGTCATAACTTTATGGAAGGGAGCTTTTAGACCCACAAAACTCATTAGATGTCTTTTTCATATCACTAACGCTGTGAACAATTCTGACTTAGTAAGCTTCTCTAAAATGGAACATTTGACAAAAAACACTTAACCCTTTGCTTATGCATAAAAAGGAAAAATCAGTGGAATTTTTCTTTACTGTGATGATGATGGTGGTAGTGAAATGTGCAGTTGCAGTCTTCTTATAGTAATTATATTTATTTTTCTACTTTTTTTCTACCATATGCTCGTAACTCATGCAGAAAGCTCTAGTCCCTGACCTGGACAAGGTGACCTGCAGTTGTTCTACCCTACCAACCTATTAGGATCAGGGTAATCTTTTTTGGGAACAACTTTCATTCTTTGCCAAACACAGTGTTGAAGCCTATTTCTTGGCTACACTTTCAGTGAATCTGTTAGTCTAATATGCTTGTGACCTTTTTTGGCAGTTAAATATGCCTTTTTGTTTTCCTCTTTTTCAGTTTCATTCAATTAGAGCAACAGTTTTCTGTAGTTTACTATGTGTAATGTGGATTCACATTTCTTTAGTTTATAAATATATTAGTGTTGAAATGAAATGGTCATGTTCCTTATCTCAACACCATTAAGCTACATTTAAACAGCGGATTGCTGGGATTGGTCTGTTTATTCGCATTCCTATTTAATGACACTGAATAGTTTGCCACCACGTGTAGAAGGATCAAACTAGTATAAAACAGGAAGATTCATAAGCAACAATATCAACTATACCAGACATCAGTCACATGAAACTAACTGATTTCACAGCTGGTTTAAATGAATTGGCACTGAAAGAATTGATACATTGGATTTACTTGTTGCAAACATGTCTGTAATTTCCACATGAATAAAAAATACTCCATCAACACAGTTATAGCCAAAAGTAAGTAAACTGAAAGATAAACCCATGTTGCTATTTGGTATTTATGTGGAAATGATGTACACATTTGATTCAACTCATTTCTTTGTCCAGTGTACAATCCAGGATTGTAGTTAAATTACTTTGAGTGAATCAGTGAAGCTGAAATTCTGAAAGTTTAAAGTCACATGGCTGAAAAAGAAGTGATCTTTCTACCCTCACCAACTCTTCAGTGCTGAAAAAGAAGCTTGTCAGCTGCCTGGTGGGGAGCATGTGGCTGGGCTGTGCTGAGCAGCAGCTGGCTACAGCGTGGGGGCCCGCGGCTGGCCGGGCAAAGGGCCTCTCCTGGGGCCAGTGGGCATCTGCCTCGCCCTGCACCACTTCACCCGCCAGCATCACAAATTCATGCGCTGCTCCACCCGCACCATCTGTGTCCGCATGCACCAGAAGCTCAGCAAGCCCCACCGGTCACATGCAGGAGAGGCCAGAAGAGGCCAGGCCAGGCCAGACCAGGCAACACTGCACTGAGCTTATTCACATGAGAATGGGACCAAGTCTCTGCCTTCTTTCAGAGTGTTGACCAACTAGGTCAGGGAGAAGAAGTGTAGGAGCCAGAGTAAACTACAGTATTAAACAAACTACTACCTATTAGGGTTTTACAATACATATCGTTTATAAAAAAAAAATATCGCTATTGCCATATCAGATGCAATTGAGCCCCTAAACGGTTTCTGATGTTCTGTGTTTTATATGTGTTAAAAATCACTTATAGCATGGTGTGGGTTGTTTACATGATCCAGAAATTGAAAATAATTTCTGTGAAAAATAATGCAGGCCAACAGGTTCACCACTGTGTTCCACATATCTCACAATCAAAATTCATAGGAATGTAATTGCAATCGGACATTTTGTCGATATTATGTAGCCCTACTGCCTATGAAGCTAATATTTAAACTCTCAGTTGAAAGTAAACATCAAAACCTGCTCTGAAGAGTTGCAGTGGAACATGTTAAAAATTAGCTTCACAGACAATCAGGAACAATATGCGTGATTAAAAAGGGAATGTTCTCCCTGTGTCTGCGTGGGTTTCCTCCCACAGTCCAAAGACATGCAGTCAGGCCGATTGGACATGCTAAATTGCACCTAGGTGTGAGTGTGTAAGTGAATGTATATGTCTGTGTGTCTGCCCTGTGATGGACTTGTGACCTGTCCAGGATGATTGCTGGGATAGACTTCCTCTCCCCCTGCGACCCAGAAGGAGAAGCGGCTTAGAAGATGTTTTAAAATATTAGGTTATGAAAAGGTATAAATATGTACTTTTCACTTGGAAAAAACTTATTTAAGGTACACAATTGGATCTTAAAACCACTGTTGTACCTTTGCGGGTACATTTACATGTTGTTTGTACCCTGATGAACAAAAAATGTACCTGCACAGAACCTTTATTTCTAACAGTGTAGGCTCCAACTGGTAATAGAAGTTTAGCATTGTGCACACACATCATCGAGCACTTGTCTCAAACCATATAAAACTATAAAGTATTATCAGACTAGTTTGATACTGTGATATAAAGTTATGATAAAAAATGGATAAAAGTACCTTGCATAGTTATAAACAGTAGTAGCAGACATCTTGAAGAATTTTGCCACTTTTGTCCATTTTTATAGATAACAGTATGTCATCTCTGCAGAGAGAGTCTCTAGTTTCCTCCCTGGGTTCTCTATTAGAATTGAGAACCACTGGCCTTCTACCTAGACATCACCTGCATTACCATGATGTAACCACAAGAGGGTACAACTGCTGCACAATTAAAAAGAGGTGCTGAAGAGAGTGCCGTAATGTCTCTGTTAAACACTTACAGAGTGGGAGGACTGTTTGTGGGGGTTTGATGAGCACATGATGATAGACTGAAAAAGAAGAAGAATTACACAAACCACATGCTTGCGAAAACTAAAGTAAATCTATGACTAAACTGTGTCAGGTCACCTGTTTATCCTCTAGCAGCTCCCTCTCTGTCCCTCTTTCTCTCACATCTCACTCTCTCTCTCTTTCTCTGTCTCTCTCTGTCTCTCTCTCTCTCCTCAGGCAGTGCAGGCCGTCTGTGGCCCAGCGGCTCACTGGCAGGTGTTGATGGTCCTGTCGGCCGAGGCTGGGGGAGCTCTGCTGGCTCTGGGCTGGCTCTCCAGTCTGCCTGCGCCTGCCTGGGCCGTCCCACTGGCAGCTGGCATCACGCTGCGGGCGCCTCT